GTCTAAATTCATTTAAAGAAATATTGCATTAATATATTGATAATATAATGGCTGAAATCATGAAAGATTTACCAGTTGAAGTTATTAAGAATGTATCTTCCTATTTGTTAGGAGAACCTGAATATGTAAAAATCAAACATAGTGAAGCATCAAAAAGAATACAAAACAAATACAAAATTACAAAACTCGGGCCGAAGAGAACAACAAAGAGAAAGTTAAAAAAGACTACTATTGAATATTGTATTATGAGAGAAGATATACCATTTTCAGTAAAAAGCATAGATGGTATTATATGTGAGCAACTGGAGGAGTTAATGTATCTTCTGTATGACCAAGTAGAAGGATGTGAGTTTAATGCGTTCTTAACTGTTGATACATGTATATGCGCAAAACAACCCAATAAAACATATGCTGAAAATACTTTTGACTACTGTAACATCAATGGGACATCACGAATATTTGACAGAGTTGATGAAGCAATGGATAGTGACCTGAATGAAATAGCAGAAGAAATTATAAGCCAAGTAAATCATGAAAGTGTTGAACATAATATTATTGGCATTCAATCGTTTAATTTCAAATTAGTAATTGAAGAAGATTGAAGATGATTTAATTCTTTTTCCAAAGATAATTTAAATTTTTATTACTTTTTATTAGAATATTTTTAATATTTAGTCTAAAGTCATTTAAAGAAATATTGCATTAATATATTAATAATATATTGGTTATGTTCAGTGAGCAAGAACAAGATGAAATTATCAATGAATTTCTAAAAGTTATTGAAATGAATGATATTAAAATAAATAAAACATCAAAAGTTGGAACATGTGCTAAATGTAAGTTTAACAAATCAAACTTGGATATGTATAAGTTATTTCCTGCTGTAGTTGCTAAAAGCATTTGTAAATATAATTTTGAAGAATGTGATAAATGCTTTTTGTTAAGACATGCTACAAAAATGTTACAGAATAAAGGACTACATAGCATTGTAAGAAAGAGCATTTATGATAAATACAAAATTACAATTGATGAAGATTCTTTCATTAATGATCCAGATGAAAACCTAAAGATATTCTATTTTATCAAATTAAATTCTTTTCCAACATACAAGAAAATAAAGAATGAGATACTAAAGAACAACAAAGAATATAATCTAAAACTTCAAAATGATATTAAACACTACTACAACAAATTATGGGAGGCTAGATTTGATCCTGACTTACCAACTAACAGACCTATTAGTGTATTCAATGAAAAAAAAGAAACAGCTATATAAAAGAATATGATGACAAAGTAGCAAATAAAGAAATTGAAAATGATTGTAGAAATACATTTCTTGAATACATTAAAAAAAGACAGAAGGAATTAACAACAATGATTGATGCCATATGTGACTACATAGAAAAACAACAAAACAAGAATGGAAAATTATTACATGGTGATATTATGAAATCAGTAAGGCGTATTTTAGGGCATTGGGGGTGTGATGATGACTTCTTTAAATATGTAGATGTAAAATATCCATGTCTACCAAAAGAAGAATACATTAAAAAAAAACAAAGTAATTTTAAACCAGTTCAAAAACTTTCTGATGAATATTTGAAAACTGATGACTTTTAGATAGACTTAAATTATCTTACGAAAATAATTTAAATCTATTACTACTTTTTTCTATGAAGGCCTTGGGGCTAGGTTGGTTCTTATGAAAAAAACTATGATGGTGAAGATGAATGAATGAGTGGGGGAGTTGGTGAATAATGGATCCTATGATAATGAAGATGAATGTGAATTTGGTATGGCTCATGATGTGGGGAATGGGTGGGGATGATGATTTTTCCTTTTGATGGATGAATGGGTGGTGAATTAAATGATAGGTGGGTGGGCAATGATGAAAAAATGATGTGGTGAAACATGGATGATCCAACCCCGCCCCATGCCCTGTGCCTACCTTTTACACCCTTGGCTTTTGCTGTTTCTTTACCTCCCTTTATCACCATGGACTATATAGAACATCATTCCCTCCGTGGCAGCCCGACAGTGACAGCTCCGATCTCTCCTTCAGGATCGGTGAAGTCACCCAGAAAGGGTCGACGCGAAGACGCTCTGAGGACTGGTGTCTTGCCATTGAGGAACCAACGCAGGCCACTGGGCCCGAGGCCCCTACTCCTGACACTCCAATGAAACTCCAGCAAGCAGCTGGAAATCAACCATGACCAGGAACCGGTCCCAGAGGCGACTCGCACGCTCACTCTGTTGCAACAACACACCCCGTCTCAACGCTCAAGAAGCCCCAGACCCAAATCCAACGGTGATACCATGGCGGCTATTCAATCCTTGGCTATGAGTCATCAGCTCTAGCGGCGCGCAGCGCAAGGACTGTTCCTGACATCTTCCACTCTCCTTTGGTCCAACGGGCCGTGCCGACCTTTTGAACAGCGTGACATTGTGGACTTCCTCCAGGTTCTCTAGAAGAAATCCGTACAGTTGATTGTTGCTCACACGGATGCCCAGTTCATCTATACCTGCGCGACGAGAAAAACGGTGACACGGTAGAGCTGCAAGATCTGATCATGGCATGGTCACTGGAATCATACAGTCTACAGGCCACATCTGGCCCTGCAGACCTGATTTGCGTTCAGGTGAACACGCAGGTTCAATCAACATGACAACAATAGATTTCAACGCCTTCAATGATCATCTATGGCTTTTGTCTGACACTTCTACAACCAATCCATGGCAGTGGACAAACTCTCTTTTCAGGTGATAAGAAACATATAGGACCTGACGGTCAATCTCGACACTACCGCATCCTCCTATATGGACGACGACGATAACCCTCGGTTTATGAGACAAACCTCCCGAATTCGGTGCTCAGGAACATCTGTGTCTTGTGGCTGCTGGGCAATGATTGATTGGGCGCTTGAAGGGTGGCTCCTCGGCGTTGTTGACTAAGGACCAAGCGCTGACACATGTCAAGCGCGCAATAGCTCCAGGCCGTCCCTGGAAAGAATCTTGGCTGCCGTCGATCGATCGTCTTGACATCAAGCCGCTGTTATCCTGACCTGCGCCGAGCGCTGACCAGCCACTGCTTCTTGCGCGCACAAAGCCGCCGCGCCTGCTGCAGCGTTGCCACGTGATCACGCTGAGCTGGGGCCGTGGACTCAAGCCGGCGCCCGAGTGAGCGGATAATCCAAAAGAGTGGGTGGACGGGCGGCCATATCTGTCCCTGCCTCGTTCACTACTACAGGACGCTCCGCGCCTTGAGCGGCAGATATTCAGGCAGGGCATAGCACCGAGGCTCTGGGGCTGACGAACTTTTGACCACTCGTGGCATTTGGAGTACAGACCCGTCTGAAAGAGATGGAAGAGGGTCCACGCGACATCATGAAGCTGAAGGCGTCGAGAAAGAAAACATGAGGACGACGACGACGACGACGACGATGATGGCGATGGTGATGGTGATGGTGATGGTGATGGTGATGATGCTGACGAAGAAGACGAAGACGAAGAGGACGAAGAAGAAGAAGAAGAAGGTTGCAGAATGATGGCGACGATGATGATGATAATGATAATGGCGACGACGGTGGCGATAAAGATGATAGCGCTGACGACGGCGACGGCGCGGTTTATGTTGCGATGATGATAACGACGGTTGGACAGTTGAGGAAAAAGGCAACCTTCTCTGCCACAATGCATATCAAAGCGTACGTCCGATGTTTACACCCTGTAACTCAGGGCGCCTGTGACAACAGTGGGGCGTTCGTCACTCCAATCTCTCTCAGCTTCGACCTCGGGCGCACGAAACCTAGTCATTGGGCACCTGCCGCTGAATTGAATGCAACCTGCAAACCGACAGTTTCACACAGCAACCAAACGCTGGCTGAATAATGACGTCTAGTAGAAATCAGGCACCTAAACCACGCAATCTATACATACATACATACATACATACATACATTGACATACATACATTGACATACATACACTGACATACATGACATACATACCATACAGAACAAAACAAAACAAGACAAGCAAACAAACAAACGTACATACATACATACATACACGCATGCATGCATACATGGCTCAAGACACGAGTGCTCAAGCTGGCCCCCGCAAGAAAACCAGCTTGCGCGGAAACCCCCTTGCACCACGCGCGAGCCGCCGCGAGCCCACCAGTTTGTGAACACCAACCAAAAACCAACCTGTCAGACACGGCTCATCTTCTGACACAAGTGCATAGGCCAGCTATGCAACACTACGCCTATGCCTCCAGAAACTCACCATGGTTGTGGGAAACCGCAGCGCCCGGCGCTTTGCAAATGCACCTTGGTGTGCCTTCACATGGACGCGCGCCTACGTGGCAGAGCTTAACCGAGATCCACGCGGCACCATCCAAGATGCAGCGCTGACCTCCCTCGAACTTGCAGAACCAGTGGCCAGTGGACATCAAGAAGCTTTCGGGACTGGAAGATTTGTGGAAAAGGCATGGAACTGCTGGGCCAACCAGGGCCTCGATCCATATCTACTTGATGACAAAAGGCGCTGACCAGCTATGTCCAAAGAAAGACCTTGATTGATGGTTTGAAACAGCAGCTTGAGATCTGGCGATCCTCCGGTCGCAGCCCCTTTGCGCTCCTTTTTGAAGTCATATAGTGGAGAGTACCAGGTGCGCAGCTGTGTGAATGTGTGCTTTCAGTGACAACAAAGTCCACCCATCAGATGCAGCGGCTGGGCGCCATCACCGGCATTCCCACAGGTCCACACACCAACCCCAGAGCCCTTTTTGCAGATTTGGTGCATCGCCCAGACACACGACCACACCAGTCAAAGTCATTGTTCAGCCGACCTCCGTTTGGGGAGCATGGACATAGCCATACCACGGAGTCTCTTTCCTGGACCTCATGGAGAGCATCACAGAGGCGAACCTGCAGCGGGTCAGCCGCAACTCCAGAACACCTGACGCCCCAGGCACTGAACCGAACTTGCGAAGGTGGCAGCACAACAAGGCGACTCGGACAGCGCAAAAAAGCCTGGCAAGCACCACACCATCGATGGGGGCCACACCGTAGTGCATCAGAGCTCATCACAGCTTCACCGTGATGCCCCCAGTCACCAAACCACAGCCCCACCAAAGCCATGCCTAAGAAACAGACCAGAGCACAGCTGATTAAGAGCATCAAGGTGGCAGCCCTTGAAGTCCACCTAGTGTGGTTTTCCCCTCTCGAACATTCATCCGGGACTTTGCCATCACCTCGGGCTTGGCCTTCCTCGATTACAACGCATTCTTTGCCCGCAATCTTGCTCTTCCCCTGGGCAGTTCTTGCTGACCTCTACGGCACCTGGCTGTTCTCGCTTGGCCATCTCACTGAGATTCACCTGGGAACTGGTCTTTGACCCTGACCTCAAAGCGGGCCTGATCGAGACCTGTGCCACCCACTGTGCCTACCTCCTTGAATACCTCTCGGGAAGAGACTTCCTCCAGCACTATGACGGCCTGGTGTCGCGCATATGTGCCTTGCACCAAGTCCACGTGTACAAATTGGAGTTGGCAGGACAAGATGTATCCAGGAACTCGATGTCGAAAATGTGGAACTATGTGGCCCACTACCTCGACGAGTACAGGAAAGGGCAAAGGCTATGGCAAGCCGAGCAGTAAAGATACCCGAGGACAACCGACCTTGCTAGAAGCTCCACCAGGGCTCTCCAAGGTACGCCCAATGAAGATCTCCAAAGTCCAACAAGAGGCTACTGATCTTCTCTCTACGGCTTGGACGACCTTGCCGGAGGAGACACAGAGCAAGCTTCAGGCCATAGGGATAGGGCCCACAAAGCCTGAGACTCCAGAACTCAAAGATGTCCTGAAATCTCACATGGAGGCACTACCTCAACAAGTACAAGAGCTGGTCACCAAATTGACCACCCCAGAGCCATGTACTGAGCGAGAGATTGCTGCAAAGCTAAAGGGCCGAGTCACGGAGTTAAAGAACCTCTCTATGAAGAAAACTCAGCCGCAGAACAAAATCGACCAGGTCAAGTCACAGTACGCAGCACTCCTCACGGACATGCAAGAGAGTCAAGCTCACAGAAGGGCAGCAGGCCCTGAAAAGCCTGTCTGAAGACTACATGAAAGCTGTCAACCAGACACCTGCACCGGCCGACATACCAGCAGCTTCTGGAGATGCTGAGCAGATTCCAATGGCAGTGGAATCTTTTGTCCATAGCCTGGGCATTTCCTTGACTGAGGAACAGAAGACTCAGCTTCATGGCCTCCTCAAGAGGCCAAATCAGGAGACCGAAGACTCCATGAAGCGACGGAAAACTGAGGGCACGCAGCTCGTACCTCCAGGACATTGCGGGTAACACCCATGGTTTGCTTTTTGAGGGGTGGACTTTACCGGTGCCGGACGATGACCTCATGTCATGTGAAGGACCTGACAGTCCAAACAAAGGGCAAGTTTTTGAAGACACTTATTTCCTAGATGACGCACTTCACTTGGATGAGGCGTCAGCAACACCACAATGGGATTGCCGCGCCGCCTCAGGCTCACAGAAGCATCAGGGGACATCAGCTTCATTATGTGCAAGGGATCAAGCACGTCCTAAGGCTGATTCAAACACCTCAGGGGAGCTCCACACCACCAATGACGGGGATCAGTCATTTCATGGTGTTCACGAGCAACTTTCACTTTTTGCAGCTCAAAGCTACACTTCAACAGAGTATGCTGAGCCAACTGCAGGGACGGCCCATGGCAATGACACCCTCTCCATTTTAGGAGGGGCCGCGTCCACTGCAGACACTTTTGACAGTGCCACCGCCAAAAAAGCTGGCATGCAAAACTATGCCACAGCAACGGACTGCATTTTGCAGAATCTCACTATGGTTGTTGGCAATCCCAGTGTGAAGTGCTTTGCCAATGCACCATGGAGAGCCTTCACCTGGATTTGCGCACTTCTCCAAGAGACGAGCACTCAGCCTTGGGGAACACTTCAAGAAGCTGTGCAAGAATCCATCGACACGGCTGAACAGGTGGACATCCAAACTCTACCAGGACTACGAGAGCTATGGAAACAGCACGACCTCAATGCGCAAGGAGATGCGAGCCACTTCGTCAACTCATTGTGGCTTCTGTCCCAGAGCAGAGCGTTCCACTATTGCTTTGCTGAAATAAAGGAGGGTGGCTACCTCACAGATCATGTCCAACAGCCCATCCTGGTGCCCTACCCAGATGACTGGCCAGATGATGTGTCCCTACAGCAGCTCATCAACAACTGGGCAAACCAAGGCATGGGTCAATATTTGATGGATGACAAAAAGGTCCTGATATGCCACGTGACTCGAAACACTTGCATTGATGGAGTGATGACCAAACATCAGAAGCCTTTCAATCCATATGGCACCTTTACCATGCCACGCTCTCTGGATGGCTTCTCAAGATCGTCCACGGAGTTTGTCCCTGCTGTCCTCATCTGTCATAGAGGACAAACACACCAACAAGGCCACTACTTCGCGATACTCATCTACAGAGACCTCATGTGGATTGCTGATGATGGAAAGGCGCCAACTCATTTGCCCAACTTGACACCTAGTTTGGCCAGCCAAATCGCGCAGGTTTGGGCCGTGAACATTGATTGCTTCAAAACACCTCAACAGGTGCTCCATGGCCTGCCACCACCAGAAGAGCCTGATTATGAGCCATCACTACATCCAAGCCCTATCAAAAGGGCACGCCTGGAGCAAGACCACAATGCCCTGCACTTTAGCAATGTCACCAACTTTGGCCGCCAAGTGTTGGAGTGGTACTGGACGAGAGACAGCGGCATCTGCATCTTTGCCGAGACCCATTTGGATCCACAAAAACATTGGGAAACCTGCCAATACCTCACCGTACGAGGACGAATTGCTTTTGGCACACCGGCTGAACCCAACAAGGACAACACGGGCACTCATGGAGGGTTACTTGTTGTTGCTGACCTGGCCAGTGGAGTCACCCAGTTTGAGGCCTACACCATCCAAGGCCGTGGACTTCAAAGCTTTCTTTGGCAAGCCACGGAATGCACGATCCTTGTCATAGGGCTCTACCTACGAACAGGAGAAACTCTTCAGAGTGAGACAAACGCGGCCATCATGGGCAAGTTGCTGGCTTTGCTCACCCACACAGCACACCCTTTTGTGTGCGTTGGGGACTGGCAGAATCCACCGAGCACCATGGCTGGAACAGTTCTCTCCTCCAAGTTCCACTTTGGCATTCTGGCGCCAGATCACAGTGTCTTGTCTGGGAACACCATTGACTATGCCATCCTTCACAATACTCTGGCAGGAACGACATCCCTTCTCACAGAATGGTCAGTTCCGTGGAGGCCACATGCGCTTGTCAGGCTGAAGTTTGACATCGAGGCTGCAACCAGAGAATACAGACAGATGCCTTACTTCCCACCCATGCCAAAAGTGCCTGACATCGATTTCAGACCATGGACCACCTATTAATGCCAGGCCCATATGGTTGAGCTGTATGGCAATCCACCAAACAAACCAGCGCAACACTGGGCGGATTGGCTATCCAAGACAGAAGTACCTTCTCCAGGAAAACCCCTGGGCTGCCCAAGGCCGTGGATACCAGCTGCAAGTGGTCACCAAGCCTCAAGTACCCCAGGCCAAGCCCCACACCTGGCGTAAAGGACGCCCGGCCTTCTGGGAACAACTCAGGGCAATCTTTCATTTGGCATTACAACAACCAGAGCAATGGACCTGCGCAAGGCTTCATGCAGCGCATCCGCCATGCCCA